AGAAAAAACAGAAACAAATGCATGAAACTTCTTATTGTACAACTATATATTGAGAATTACATTGATATTCTCCTTCTTCAATTATCAATTATATAGCATTCTCCTTCTTCAATTTATAGATGAAACACAACTCAATAAAATTCGGCTATGTAAATATCCGCGCAAATCGTTTATGAATAGCGATTAAAGAAATTACGTATACAATGAGTAAGAACATGCGGTTACAAATCTAATATTGTAAAATTGATATTTGTCGTCAAAGCACGAAGAAAGGTGAAAAAGTTTGTCATGACGGCTGTAAGTAAGCGTGACACACTATTTTAATAACACTATGTAACCTTCAGAGGAGTAGTTGCTGTGCAGGTGTACACTATGAATTTAATATGCATAATAATTATCTATAGTTTAGTAGATACGACCTGCTTTGGTGAGAAACGTACCGTTGTGCACAGTATTCCATTATTCGGAAGGGGTCAGGTCGCCATCCTTCCAAAGACGTGTCGTTTTCCACTGCGAAAAACAACGTAACAATGTCGTCGCGCTTGGTCCGTCAGTGACACGAAAAGTTTACCGCACTAACGGACCAATAAAACACTCCTCCGCGCAAAAGGATCTCACTTTATCCTAGTATCGTAGCATATATTTCGCCATTTACGCGACGTTCAGTATAGTTAGGTATCACAACTCGCAACTCTCTAAAAGTCGTGTTTCCATAAGCGCGCACGTCGACAGACGCATTACTGGCAGATTTTCATGAAATCTCGCATAATTACATGCATTTATGTACGTGTTAATAATCATTTAGTACTGCTCCTCTAGAGAGCGACACTGTCCTATTATGAGTTTTTTTTTTTATTGATATAATGTATATAACAATCTATATAGTAATAAGAACATTTATTTACATTTGTAACAAAATTTATGGCAAAAATAAATTGTACATTTCTTTTTACACAGTTTCACTGGTGCAGCTTGTTTTTATTTAATTAAGAGCTTTTAATGTTGTTTGGCAAAAGTTAATAAAATAGTATATATTAATATAATATTAATATCATAATATATCAAATTAAATTGTATTATTTTCTCGAAATAGTTTTATAACGGCTTTTTCTCTTGCACTGCTTTGCTAAAACAACAATTGTAAAAATAACAATTTTAAAGTCATGTAAATGATATTTTTTCTACGTATGAACATTACTTAAATACATATATGTGTATTACCTTGTCTTTCTTTTATAATTTCTTTTCTCCTTTCTTTAAACTTAATAGATAAATTTTCTATCATACTTTCAATAAAATTATCTAAGGCTAATGGTCTATTCATTGTTGATATCGGTGTTCTGCATATTGGACACTCCTGTTTCTTTTTGTTCCATAGATGTATACAATGATTACAAAATGTATGCATACAATTTAATGTTGTCGCTTTCACAAATAATTCTGAACATATACTACAAGTTAATTGTTCATCCATTATATCATTAACTTTATTAACTACACTTTCTTTTTTTTCTGTGTCTATAATAGGTTGAGTAGTGTCTGTTATATCTATTGTATCTATAATTTGATAATGTGAAGGATCATCTGCAATTTCTATAAATATACAACAACCATCACTGGAATTTTCAGAAGTCCCTGCAACTATATATGGAAAATGATAAGTTTATTATAATTAATTAAAGTATTTCATATTTTTATTATAAAAAAAAATGTGTACCATTATTTTGTACTGCTCTTACTTTTGCTTCTTGTTCTTTTAAAGCCTTTTCTGTTTCTTTTAATTTTTCCTCTAAAAGTGTCTTTTCATTTACCAATTGAGCCTGTATACTTTTTTCTTCTTTAACTTTATTCTCCATCATATTTTTCCATTCCGCTTGTTGGTCTTCTCTCCATTTTTCCATTTGTTCTTTCATTTTTATCTCCAACATTTCTTTTTCGAGTTTACTTATATTTAATGCTTCTTGCCATTTTTGTTTTTCTTCGTTCAATTTTCTTTCAAATTCATTCCGTTTGTTCTCTAATTTCTCTAGCAATTCAGCATACATGTGTTTTATATATTTTTCTTGAACATTACCATGTTCTAGTTTCTTCTTCAACACTGTAATTTGTCTCTTCAAATCTTCGGTATTTTCATTTGTAATACCTTGTTGCTTTAAAAGTTGCTCTAATTGTTGCTTTAAATTATCTTGTTCCTTTTGTTTTATTTGTAACTTGTCTTTAACAATTTTCTTTAGACATTCTTGACTTTCAGCAAATGTCTTCTGCTCTATAAGAACATTGTCCAATATCTGTTCATCTAATTTAGCCTTTTTAATTTTATGCTCATCCTCAGTACCAAGAATAAACAGATATTTAAATTCTTCAGATGTGCCAAATCGTACAATATCTCCATTATTGAGTTTTCGACTTACACCGGAAATTAAAGGAACATCGTTAACAAATGTACCAGAAGAACTTATGTCTTTAATGATCCATTCTTTATTTCCTTCGCGTCTTATGATACAATGCTTTCTAGATATTATCGCATTCAAAATAATTTCATCATTATCTCTTGCACGACCTATTCTAAACTATTAAAGATATTTTTAGTTGATTATTAAAAAGACTCAATTTAAAAAAAAAATTAAGTAAGACAGAGATACGTATTTATCAAAATACCTCATTTTTATCAATATGAATATTAGGAGGAGCACAACTCTGCTTATTAATTCTAACTAAAGTAGGTTGGAGTAGTCCTTCATCTGAATCGTCCAATATTACTCTTTTTTCTACTTTCGAACCTTCCATCGCTCATAGTTATTCTTTCATAAAAGAACAAATTACCGAGAAGCATGGAATAATAAATATTCTTTTTTAATTATATTTGCTTTTTTTTTCATTGTTTACTACAAGCGCAGAAAAATAAGAAACACTAGAAAGGTGGATTCAAAATTTTTGACTGAATTTCTTGTAAACACAAAAATGAATCGTACATAAACTGTACACGTGCAAACGACATCTCGCGGTAAATTTTGAATAATGTAATCATTGGTAATAAAGTACACAATGTTAGAAAACCTACATAGGAAATATCTTTAAACATGAAATTATTAAATAAAAAAGAATATATGGAAATATTAGTAGTATTTAAATAAATTAGCAGTATGTAAATAAATGATTTCCATGTAAGAATATATATATTCTTATATGGAAATTATTTATTTACACAAACACACATATGTATGTATGGTATATAAATAATATATAGTATATGTGTAGTATATAAATAAAATACCTAAATTTAAAAGATCATGTTCAAATGATCATTAACTTATAAGTTAATTATGAAATGAGAAGTAGAACTAACATTGATCAGATTTATTTTAATTCAGATAATATTTATTTGATAGGTATATAATACATTGAATTTGCCAGCACAAGTGAGAGAAAACACACTTCTCGGCGACTAATACTTGCTTGTTCTTATATTCGACACCTTCCAATTAGTCCTACACTACTGCTACCGAACATACTTTTCCTCTTATCCATGGAACGGAGTTTTTTTTTCTCTTGTTTTCTTTAAATATCAACTCTTTATCCAATCGACTATTTTTTTCATATAACGATTGGTTGTCACAGTTGAAATAGCATAGTCTGGTAGATTTGGTGTTGCACGTAAAAAAGGAGTATAGACAAATGTATCAATTCATCAATATTTGGCAATTAAAATATGTAACATTAAGAATACCATTAATTCCCTCTTTTTACATCGAAAATGTATTGCAAATGTAAAATAATTCATTTCACAAACGTATTACAACCAAATGAAATTTTAGCGTTACAAAAAATCGTAATTTTGATAATAACTGGTTTTAAAAACTGGCAAGTAATTAATTTAATGCAATCAACCATAATAATCGTATTGTTCGGTAAGCTGCATATCAATGACGAATAGCTTTCTTCAATAAACACAGTGAATTGCTCATCGATTCAATTTTCTTTTTCGAGAACAGGATCGATTTGACAGTCGTTGTCTATTTACAATATTTGCGATAAAGACTAATTAATTTATAAACATCGTTGTTATTTATGTACAGATGTAATATAAACACATCATACCTTATATAAAATGGACATGTGTAAAAGTACCGCGAATTAAACAAATAGTGACCCGATTCAACTTGGTTTTGAAAAATACATGGCTCGTAGTCGCCAGTAGCCCGTAACGTCTACATCAAAACTGACAAACAATTTTCGAACGAAATTAGTCGAACTTTTACGCGCATTTTTTCTATCTGAAGAATACAGCGATAATGAAATACAAAGATCAAAACGTAATTTAATTTTGCTCTTGTATAAAACAAACGCAAAAAGACAAAATGTAACAAAATTCTTAGTACCTAAGATTGCAAAAATGAACTTTGTTATTACAATATATATATTATACATATATGCGTGTATATATATATATATAAACCGCATATATATTGATTCTGTTCTTCCCTTGTTTTGGAGATTTCAATACATGAGAGATCGCGCACAATAACACAAATCTCTAAAACAAGGGAAGAGCAGAATCAATGCGAAGCTATAGAAGTCGGTCTACTAACTGCGGTATCACAAAGAGTCATAATTTGAAAAAAATATCGCAACACCATAAAAACCGTTCGTCTAATCTAAATACTTAAATAAAAACCAACTTCTTTATCTTCAACCGATTTGACCAATAATACATAATCACGATGAAATATCATCAAAAGTAGTAGGTTACACTTTCCATCTGTTCGCGAATGAACGCAATGTACAGTCACAGGTACAGAAGTAATAGAAAAAGTGCGCGTACAATATTTGAAATAACCGTTATAAATGTTCATTTGCATAAAAGGATATTGCATTACTCTCGGAAATACTTGAAGTAATTGCCACAAAATCATTATGGAATTGTCGAATAAATTTATTCCAATCGAATTACATTAGCCTTTCGCAAATGTTAGGTGCTAAGCGAAAGAATCGCGAGAGCGTTACTTGATTGGTTTACCCCAGGAGAATTGTATCGGCAATGGAGGAATATCGCTACTCGTGGACGATTCGTCCTCGCTACTCGTGGCGGATGTCTCTTCTGAAATCATTGCTTCGCCACCAGCTTCTTGAGGCCTTTGTCCTGCGCCACAATCTTCGGCGGCTGCGGCAGCTGCAGCCGCGGCTGCAACAGCAACGGCCATTGCAGAATTCGTGGTTACTGCTGTCGCGGAAGAAGATGACGATGAAGAAGTAGACGAGGCAGAAGAAGACGGATCGCTTCTGGGTCTTCGTCGAGTATTCGGCGTAGAATTAAACGTAGGCGCCCAATGGGAATCATCTACTTGTGCGGAATCCGTAATAGAAATGCTTTTCGACCTTGCTCTCATGTCTACGGAAGGTCTTCTGGATGTCAATCGGAGTGATCCCTGTCTCGACACTGCTGTCGTTGTTTCCGATCTACCCATTTTAGGTGGCGTTGCTAATGACGACGTATCCGATGCACCTTTTGAAAATTCATCATCGATTTCTAACGTCCATGAAACCGAATCGCCTTTCTCCACCATAAACTTAACCATGGATGAAGACTGTGGACCGTTCTTGTCGGGTGAAAGACTATGTTCGACGTGCTCCGGGCCTAAAGAACGGGAAAGCCTAGGCGTCAGGTTCGCAAGAACGGTCACTACTTCGTTTTTTTGACGCAGTCTCCATTGCAGTTCCTCGTTACGCTGTGCCAAACGCTTATTCTGCTTGGACACTTGGTGAATGGATTCGTGCAGCACCTCGTTGTCGTGAGATATTTGCCTCTCCAAAGTTTCTTTGCACTGAAGCTGCGCCTTTAGATCTTCGCATCTGGCCTCGAGTGTGTCTACACGTTGCTGCAAAGCTTCCTTATCCTCGATCTCTCGTTTAATGTTATCAAGGTCCGATCTCAAAGTAGCGTTTTCTTGGCTTCGAATTTCCAGTACCGATCTTAAAGACTCGACTTCCGCGGTGAGCGCAGCCCCCTGATCATGAACAACAGATCTTCTCTTGATCTCCGTTTCTCTTCGTATAAGCTCTGCTTCTTGCTCAGCTCGTAATTTCGTGACTGCGGCTCGATGCTCCTTTGCGGCCTCGTTCAGAGAATCACGCAGCCTGACCTCGCATTTGCGCCTCTCCTCCTGCAGGGCTGCCTCCAACGTGGCAATTTGCTCCGAGTATCGAGCTTCCACTGAGAAAATCGAAGACACATTTTTCTCTTAGCATGATTGACGTCATCAGAGGTAAATTGAAAAACGGAAGAAAAACAAAGTTAGAAGGCGAGGGAACGGATTAAGCCCTGTCGAACGTGCCAAACCTATAATTAACTACGATGAACGTTACGTGGGCACTAAATTGAGCGTTTGTGAAGTTCGTGCCTGTGCCCACTTTTGAAAATTCTATCTCTGAATTATTTAACACAACCCGACGTAGCACGTAGGCACACCAGCCTCGCTGATTTTAATTAACAATTGCTCCACTTTAAAGCTCTACTATTCGCCACCGACATCAGGACCATTATGCTTGTTACCGAGAGAATATCATTATCATATGACGTATTGTACCAGGCACAGAGTACGTGAAATGTAAAATATATGTCGCGTATATATTCACGACTCGGAAAATTCAACGTTGTCGAAATAAGGATAATATTATGATCAAAATGCGTTAAAAGTAGAAACGTAAGATTTTAGAAACTGCGCATTACAATGTAAAACGTGTTGTATTGTATTGCTTTCTCACTTTCTCTAACTAAAAGAAACACAAATAATTCTTGGCAAGGCTTACGATCTTCACGAAGCTGGTCCAAGGCTTTTCGATGATTCTCCCTCTCCGACTCGAGTCTATCTTCAATGCCGAGGTTTCTAGCTCTCAATTCCTCTACCTTTGTGCACAAAGACATCCATTCCTTTTTCATGTTTGCGTAATCTTTCTTTAGTTTTGGAGTAGAAAAGGCGTCCAACTAAAGATCAAATCGTTGAAAAAAAAAAAAAAAAAAAATAGAAGATCAAGTTATATTCACAATATAATAATATATTCACGATAGAACGTGATTTTAGAAAACCAAAAAGAATTACATACCTCGTAGGCCAAATATTGTACAGTGACAGAAAGGGCTTGTACAATTTGTTCTGCCCGTTCTACATAAAATGAATCGTAAGGTATGTCGGTTTGTGCGGCCTGATCACGCGTCTCTAAGGACGCTCTTGTCATCACATAGCTGTTATTGTGCTCCTTAGTTTCGCGATCTGCAACCAATGCCACCGGTCCCATCACCATTATCATTCTTCGTTAAAGTCGTAGCAGAAATTCAAATATCCATCAAGTTGACACGCCCCTTCAACTCGATACATTTACTGATCACAGTGATCCTCGGCTATTGATCGTACTTTCCTATTTGTTCCTTAAGTAATTCCATTGTTATCAATAGGGATAGCAGCTTCGACTACGATCATTCTTTGGCTTCGTACGGATCGTCATGATGAAAGTTGGGGTAAACATCGAGGCAAATACAACACCGTACATGCCGCGTGAAATTCACTATGTTCAGACATCTTATGCGAATAAATTTAGAAGAAAGTTGTATGGGAAACTCGTTTCTGGAGAGAAAATCGTTTATTTCCAGTTCTTGGAAAGTTCGAGCTACCTGTTTTTCAGGATATTTCAGACGTTCGTCGCGATGAAACCTGACCGCTCAAATCAGCGGTGATATTCCGAGGGAAACACGTAATTATCGCGGTGACACGCGGGAAATTTGCATCCACTGATCATTAAATCGTAACGACGATTTGGCCTGACTACGTCATTCGAGCTTCATCCTCCCATTATTGCTGATGTACGTGAAAGCACGCGGATACGTCCCCCTAGCACCGCACCGCCACTTTCATTCTATTCAACACTTTGGACCAAGCTAAAAAAAAGAAAAAAAGTGCAGCTGATAAATCGTTCGAATTTGATCCAACAGTTCAGCCTGGTGCAAAAACACGTTCAAGAACACGAGCCAATGAATGAAGCACTGGGTTAAGGTCAACTGTACGATAGTCGTGTGGTGAACACAAAATCTAAGAAGTTGGTGGTAGTTTAATGACCATCTTAACGGAAACATCGAAATCGCTATATTACGAGTTCCCTCGAAACAGATCGGATTATTTTCGGAACAGGACTACGCAATATCGAACTACTTATCACTTCCACGTTTGTTTATACACAGGTGCAAGTCTATTTCGTCGTGGTGCTCCTTCGATTCTTCGACGTTCTTCGTTGCAAAAACGATTTTTCGTTACACATCTCTTTCAAAATATGTGTTCTCCATCTATGTGAATCTCCTATCTATATGTCTATTCGCACGACGAGAGCCAGTTTCAAGTGGTTCGCACCACAAATGATTCGGCTGAAAAATGCGAGTGAACTTGATCACGTTCGAATCATCGAATAACGATAACGGAGCAACAAACATGAGAGAGACCTAATCGGGATCGTCATTTGTAACGATTTGCTGGCCAAGTCCGCACTTCGACTGAATTAGCACGAGCCACAGGCTGCCTCGTGAAGCGATATACCCCTCCTTCCTCTTTGTCGACCACTCCTACCACCTTGAAATAAGGTGCAACCTCGAGGAATACGAAGACGATGGACACGCGCCGCTCTACGCACTTCGTACGCACGACTTGAATGTGACCCACAATGCCTGCATATGTTTCCATAATCGCTTTAATATCGCCTGCGTTTCCTTTGCAAAAGAGTAACCAAGAGGTGTAATTCACGCCGACATCGTCTTCTTCTTTGGCTAAGAAATTAATATTGAAGCTCAGGCGCACCGCTAAGTAACTGCCTATTGATTTATTTATCTCTCAGTTGTTCAAGTTTATGGCTCATGAAAACGAGGACGACTTTAAAATTCTGCTTCAACGGTACAGCTCGTTCCAGTAACGAGGAAAGGTGAAGTTGTTATAGAAGGTAAAAAATTATCAGATGAACGGGTGATGAATTATTACGAAACGTCGTGCTCCGAATAAATCCGCTTTTCCATTTAGAATTGGTTACCCTTACATGGTGGTAGGTGGCCGTATTCGTATGAGACGGAGGTACATACGTGTCCGTGGATATATAATGATTCAAAGATAATGATCCGAATGATCGACGATCGATAGCTCTCTTCCGCTAAGAGGAGTTTGCTAACAATTGTTGATTCCACTCGTCAATATCTGTTTCGTCGTATCGTTACGTGAATGTAATGATAATATATTAGAATTAATATTTTGGCTAATGGCTGCGAAACACGTTTCTTTCTACTACGATAATCTTATTGTCGATAATTATCCAGACGCCGAGAGAATAGGATATAAATTGAAAAAAAAAAGAAAAAAAAAAAAAATTTTTTTTCCAATTCGTGATCTTTTGAAAGTAGAATAGCGAACGACATTTGTATTCCTTAAATTAAGTTTAGTGATAATAACCTCACCTAACAATAAATTAGACGAAACAATTTATCGAGATCTTAAGTATTTCCCTAATTTGTACGGCTTATCGATACATCTTCATGTGAATGCTCTTCATAAATGATTAATACAACAATATAAATTAAATGAGGTACAAGACCGTGACTCGTAGAAACTCGACTCACAATTCGATGTTTTCTAGGACAGAGTCATTGATAATAATTTCTAATTTTAACAATTTGTTCCACATAAACGTACACGCGTCGAAGAAAAAAAAAAAAAAAAAAAAAAAAAACGATCAACGCACTAGGAGCGCATAATTAATAATAAGTCGAGATCGGCGAGAAATCGGGAACGAAACACTGATAAGAAATTTACCTTGAAAACAGAAAAGCAAATCCCTCGGAACTATCTTCGAAACTAAAGGATTGCTTTTGCTCGACTTATTCCCGTTTCTCATTTCCTCTGATGTCTCTCACGATTGCCCCGCGGGTTTCCCAGCGACGACAGCGAGAAGGATTTAGTTTCGAGGACCAGTGAAAGCTATGACTTTCTTCGAAACGACGAGCAACATGGATTGATACGCACGTGTGCGTCCTCGTGCATGCGGAGAAACGGCCGTACGCACCGCAAAATGACCGTGGGACTTTTTTAGAAACTAGCTGCTGCCAGAGTAGCGCGGTCAATGAATTAGAAAGCACAACCTGCTGATGTTTCCCTCGCGGTGTTATCTTTTTCAAAAGGCAACACACTTGGGATCGCGTTCTTTTTTACTTCGTAAAGATCAATACCTCATTGATACAAGTTGCAAAGCTCAGTATATATTAACCGATCTTAAAATAAAATAAAGGAGCTATAAAAAAAAAAGCAGCATGAGGAACTATTTCTAAATACTTTGTAAAGTCGTACCTTTTATCGATGTCGTTGAACTATGTTGCTTCGCAGGGACAGTACTTATTCTCCTCGTTATTGTCGGTTTTCGCGTCGCTGACGGGCTCTTCTCTGGAAAGAAAATTCACTATGTTAACGAGAGCATTGTACACGCTCGCCGGTAGTGCCTTAAATGATGTGTTATCGAGTTTGCAAGTACCGTACGCTGCAAACCGTTTTACTGTCCGCGTCAGATAGCGTACACGCGAGTAAAAGAAGCACGCTCACTCGAATGTAAAATAAATAGCATTTAAAGATGATATTTACTGCAATTCTTGAAGACCTTCATTACTTCGCACATCTTCAACTATTCGCTATCTACCGTCGCAAACTATATTTCGCAGCTCGGGTTACGATTAATAATTCTGATCACGATGTTCTGTCACAAAGAAGTTGTTTAAAAATCACGTTCTTCTGACGAAGTACTCTCGTACGTACGAGACCAGACTGAGTGGTACGTTCTTCCGGAAAAGTTGACGAAGTACTGCCGAAACATCAATAACGTTCGACGTAGTCGAGGAGTTGAATAATGACAGATAATTACGGCAAGGGGCGTGTATTATTTCTACCTGAGTCGTAGACGAAACCATCCTAGATTTTATGAACATATTTATAGGCAATCCTCGCGAGAATTTTCAGTACCTCTTAGAAATTTAAATACGGCCTCGGATAATTACTATTGTAAATGTCTCAAGTTCCTTCACTGTTCGTTTCGGAAGAAAAGATTTTTTTTTCAAGAAAAGACTTTCGGACGGCAGGTGCAAATCCTCCTTTTCCCGATCGAACATCAAGAACACGAAGATTTATAAATAAATCTAGCGTATTGTTGTTGATTTACAAAGAGATTTAAGGATCTGAATTTACCAAGAATCGCCAGCGACATCAACAAATAATACATTACAGTGACGTACAACACATTGAATAAATCGAATATGGCCGCTTGCCAATATTTTCAATGCTATCTCCGGATGAGAATAGAGATTATGGATATACTCCGATAGTCGATATAGCGCAGAAGGAGTTCATATTTTCGCCAACTGATACGAACGAATAAAGCACGTTGCGTAGAGGCAGGGTGTTACAAGTAAAATAATTCTCTTCGTTGTACTAGCGTCTCCAACCGGAAGCACGCAGCGGTGCCCTCGACCTTTCGTTTCCTCCGTTCAATCAGTGAATAGCAGACATTTATACATATACATATGTGTGTGTATATATATATATACACGTATTATATATGCGGGGTTACGATATATGCAAACTTGTATCACAAATTTAGGGTGTGCAAACCGGACCCTCACTCACCGAGATTGATGGGCGAAATTTCTACACAGTTCTTCTTCGTGTCGAAACTATTGACACGATTCTGTTGACTACCACGACCGTTTGCTACCAGTCTTCTCGGTGGATTCACTGATGTCGGTGATCTCTCTGAAAATACAAAAATACGAAAAAGTGAATTTTTTCATTATCACGTAAACGATGGAATAATGGTAATTTCAAATATCTCTCTCTCTTTCTTTCTCTGTCTATTCTTGCGTGCCTATTTATAACAAGGAATTACGAAAACAAGCAGTTTTCATAACACGTAGGATTACGTGTCAGATAGTTCATCGACCGTGGAATTTCGTTTCGCTCGTCAGTCGTAGTTACTTTAATAACATTTTGCGCATCATCGGAATTCGTGCTTGACGAGGCAATATAGCGGCGCGAGGCTGACACGAAGAGCTAAGTTTGAACCATGCTCGTCGATTAAACCAACGAAGAAAAGAAAACGTTTATTATGTACACCAGGCTGCACGTAGCCGTTGCCTGCGAGCTTCTGCACATAACGGCCTGAGCTATCCTGTGCATAATATTCCCAACCGATCTTACATATGAAAGAAACTAGCTGAGCAAATATTTACAACGTGTTTACTAACATAATCAATAGCAGACAGTTGGAAGTAATATTTCCACGTAATTCCTTAGAAATATATAGCAAAAGTCTATTTATATAAACTTACTGTGGGATAAATAATTTACATGATTAGAACCCACTAATGCACTTCTTCAGTGCATTAGAACTTCATATGATGGGTGTTTCAATTCAAATACGTGGATTCAATCTTTCGGGCATAGTATTTTTTTTCATTTTTCATGCTATCTTTAAATCATAAATGAAACTTTGTATTCCAAATAATTGGAATAAAACTTTTATCATACGCAATCATGCAGGGTCATTTTTTTTTTTTTTTTGGTCCTAGGAGCCTCGAACTGTTAATTGAATATTGGTTGAAATTTAATTCAAGTAAATGCAATCCATGTAAACGGCGTTCTACTGTATTTATACGATATTAACTGTAACTCAAACAGCAATTACGAAATAATACATCTTTAGTATAGGAAACTATTACCATTTTAAAAACCAGGAAATTCATTCGTTATTCTTTCGATACTATTTCACGATACGATCTGTTCAATTGCAATTGTAACAGATATTCCAGCATATTCCTTATACTTATGAAATACCATCAATCAGTCGTGTTTCACCAGCGAATGGGTGTGATATAACGGGGCGAACTACTTTCTGAAAGAGTCCTCGAAATAACAGTGATCGATGGCCAGTGTAAAAGAGAAATCACGGGACAAGGTGTGTAAGTAGGGTACCTTTGATCCTTGTCCGTAACGATTTAGACCCGCTCAAGAGAAACGGCTCGACCCATCTACCTTTTCAATTGCCTATGCAACGGAATCAGTCTGGTCGCCTAAACTTTCTAGCGTCAAATGAATCAGAAAGAAAATGACAGTAGCTGGATTACTCGCGGATATCCTTCTTCCTTTCTTTTTCTATAGCTCGGTATTAAAGGATCAACTAAAAGGAGATTATTAATTTCCATCGTGGATAGATGGATTAGTATCTAGGAACAAAGGCAAAGTTTTAAGAATGGTCCCTGGGTACCTTTTATTTATACGATCGTACCTCGCTTGAAACTGCCGAGTCGCATTTTCGCCGAGTCTCTGACAAAATCCGTCCGAAGAGCCGGCCTACCCTTCGATCCCTGCTGTCCCATTTTTCAAATTGTTACTTTCACCGTCTCTTCACCATCACTTCATCCTCAACGAAATCATTTTGTAGAAACTGAACAGGTAGCAGACGAGACGAGCCTTCAACCTGTCGTATATTCCGAGTCCATGGAGAGCCTTGTTAACCAGGTTGATTCTACGACGATAATGAAACACTGGCATCGTGAACACACGCGATTACCATTTTCGTCCAGCATTTTCGTCCAGCCGCCAGTGTTGGGCCAGCAAATTTTCAAAACTGGTTGCAAAATTTCTTCTTCTTTCCGTCCGGAGTTATCGCGTTATCAGCTTGATAAACACACTAATTAGTACAGTTCGCACGGGTCGTCTCTCACTTTCCCTTCGTCGGCGTTATCCTCGGAACGTCACGTACGATTATTCACGCTGCCTCGAGGTATTCATGGACGAGGACTCCACCGTGAGAGATGATGCGGACGAGCATAGAATCGACAGGTTGCACGTTCCTTCGACGACCTGGATCGCAGAGCGTAACGCAGAATGTCTTTCACCGACGCGATCGACCGATATCCTCAGCCATGTGGGTTTAACATCTGACTCGGATGGCGATTGCGTAAGTGGTAGATCTGAACCGGGTGCGTACCGGTGGTCGTCGGCCTTGGGAACGCACGTGGTCGCTGGGTGCACCTGTCTAAAAGGGTGGGGACACACCGAGAGAACCACCGGCGTCGAGCGAAGGACGTGTACGCACTATAAGCATAAGGTGGCCAAGTTGAAGAAAGGCAATGCCGGAAATAAACCACTAGTGCCGTTGACCTGTAAGCTCGTCGTGAAGCTGCTAATGTACGGCGAAGAGTTAGACCGAAAGGCTGATCCCCTTGAATCCTTCTATTCTTGCCTGTAGCATCGTCCAAGTACAAACACGAACGTAGCCAAAGATTCCTTCCGTAACGGTATCTTGAGAAACTTTCATTGGAGTGTCCCAAGAGAGAGAAGGGATGGTAAAATCCAGTCTTAAAGCATTTCAGTCTTGCTGGTCGGATTCCTTCGGCGATCGAAGCGAAACGTGCAATAACATATTGTACGCGGCAGGGTTGCTGGCTTACAACTCTGTATTCTTATTGATGTTCACCGAGGCTCGACGTCCTCTTCGATCGCGACGTCCTCTCCGTGCATCGGGTGGAAAAAAGTACGAACACTCTTGTTGCGACATGGGGAGAAAATCAGGTCACATCGAGCGCGTTCGCGAATACGATTGACACGGTAACTGTGTGTATATCTATATATATATATATATATATGTATGTATGTATGTATATATGTAGCAGCGCTCGAAAGGGTGTCGAAAATACCCTACCCAATACAATTGT